GAGAGAGACACCCCGATTCTGAGACAGTGCAGGAGAGAGAGACACCCCGACTCTGAGACAGCGCAGCAGAGAGAGTGATACCCCAACCCTGAGACAGCAGAGGAGAGAGAGAGACACTCCAACACTGAGATGGCGCAGGAGAGAGACACCCGGACTCTGAGACAGTGCAGGAGAGAGAGAGACACTCCAACACTCAGACAGCGCAGGAGAGAGAGAGACACTCAACACTCAGACAGCGCAGGAGAGAGACAGATACCCTGACTCTGAGACAGCCTGACCGCCCTGTCCCCTGCAGACGTGAGAGACCTGGTGCTGGTGAAGAGGAGGCTGTCCTGGGAAGAGGCGCTGGACTTCTGCCGCTCGCGCCACACCGACCTCACCAGCGTGCTGACCGAGAAGGAGCAGGCCGCCGTTGCCCGCGGCGCCCGAGCCGCCCGCTCCGCCCACGTCTGGCTGGGCCTCAGGCAGAGCCGCATTTTCGGCTTCTGGTTCTGGGTGAACCAGGAGCCCATGGGATACCAGAACTGGGGTGCCCGTGGGGAGCCCCAGCTGGGCCGCCGGTCCAGCCCCTGTGGAGCCATGTCTGCTGTGGATCACACCTGGACGGACAGGCCCTGCGAGGAGAGGCTGAGCTTCATCTGCTACAGAGGTACGGCCCCTCCCAGCCGAGCTGCGGTCAGTTCAGTCTCAATTCGGAGGGACCGGGGGACGCGGCCCGGTCACAGATGCAGCTGGTGGCGTTGCTGGGTCCTGTCTGTGTGGAGCCTGTATGTTTTCCCTGTGTTCTCCTGGTGCTCCAGTTTCCTCTCACCGTCCAGAGAAATCCTGGGAGGTTAATTATCTTCTGAGAAAACTGGCCTGTGTGTGTGTGTGTGTGTGTGTGTGTGCCCTGTGATGGACTGGTGTCCCGTCCAGTGTGTATCCTGCCTTGTGCCTGGTGCACAGCTCCAGCTCCCCTGTGGTCAGCAAATGGCTATGTGGGTAGTTGGATGGATGGATGCAAACTTCATTAACAGTTTAAAAAGCATACAGAAGTGGCTCCAGTTTCAATGCCCCAGTTTGTTCCCAGTTTCAATGCCCTCACCTTCTCAGCTCTTCCCAGTGTGCTCAGTGCTTGCAGTAGTGCAGTTTGATCTGCAGGCAGCTGGGCAGCAGGGAAGGGTGTTAGTTAGTTCAGCCCAGGCCTTACAGCTCTGTTGATTAGGCTGTCAGTAGTGTAACAATCCCACATCGCTGCTGTCTGCCGTCACTAACAAGACGTTACCCGTGACAGTTTCATTTCATCAGCCATGGCTGTGATCCTGGCAACCAGAGGGCATCAGGGGACGCTACAGGGGTGAGCACTTGAAACTAAGAGCGGGAGCCCTTACTTAACACACAGGGTGGTGGGAGTATGGAACAATTTGCCCAGTCATGTCGTTGAAGGCGATACCCTGGCTTCTCTCAAGAAACCACTGTATGAGATCGTGGGAAAAATGTTCTTCCAACGTGGATTGAGTGGGTGGTGGGACAAATAGACTCTCGCTTGCAACTGTTATTTAAGTGTCGCTGGAGGTGTACAGCTGTCTTTGAGTTTAATTCTCCAACCCTGTGTTTCCTCTACAGGTCACTAACACAGGAGGAACCCCAGCCCAGACCCAGCAACAGTGCGGGGACACCAGCACCCTACTTTCAGTATCACATGTGTAACATTTAAACACCCCTAAAAGCCAAATCACACGGAAGAGAGATGTCCAGCAAGCATTTCCAGGGATGGGTTGTTCCATGCTCCTGCAACACTTAGTGTAAAGCAGTTTCTCCCGTTCTCATTTTTAAACGGTCTTAATCCTTGTTTCTTTTCATTTGCATTGGGGACTGTAAGAAGGGAGGTCTTTTTTTTCAAGGGCGCCCCCTGCAGCGCCTCTCGCACACTCCAGGTGCAGAAAATGAATATAAGATTTTATTGTACGTAAATAAAAGGAAGTGGAAAGGTTATAAGCACAGTGTAATTCTATAATTATTGGATGTGAGACACCGGGAGAAGGTAGCGTGTTATCTATAAAACACGCAGAGTCTAGAATTAAGAGTAAGAGACTTGAGATGTTTGTGGTATTCAAAGTTTATTAGTTGTCGTAGAACCGCCCAGGTTATCTGTGCTTCTGTCCGTCTCTGAAAAGTAACAACGCGTGAAATCTGTGTCCGCAAAGCACTTTGTTTGTTTGTTTATTTGTTTTAAAATAAAAGACGTTAATAGATGTGGAGGATTTTTATCCTTTTATTCAAGAATATTTTTAAAAGAGCTTACAAAAACCTAGAAAACCTAAAAGGTCAATTACATCTGAACATATAATTTAAACAATTTAAAAATTGGATTAAAAGTACGAATGAATCATCCTCACTTGAAATTCTGAACAGCGCCCCCTACAGTCTGCACAGCACAAAGCAGCCCAGGTCTGCTGGTCCGGTGCAGCAGAAATCCCGAGAATTTGCTTCTGGAGGTTGATAGAGCTCATTTTACACTGTGTAGAGCCCCTCCTGGCTTGATTCTGCTGCGCTCTGCTCTAGAAAACGACTTTCAGAGCGTAGCACAGACAGATTCTTCATCATCATCATCACCACCACTTCCAACAATTCAGGACCACGGTGGTCCAGACTCTTTCCCAGGAAGGATTAGGCAGAAGATGAAATACACCCCAGAGAGGACAGCTCCCTTTAGATTAAAGAGACTCGGTTTCTTTCATTTACATACATTCCTTGAGTAGTTTCATAGCAGAGACTTCTTATACATGTTTTTATTCTTTATTCTATCATGAAGAAGGCTCAGCAGCGCCTTTATTTCTTGAGGTGCCTCAAGCGATGGGGGATGCCAATACATGTGTTGGTGAACTTCTACCGCTGCACCAACGAGAGCGTCCTCACCAACGGGATCACCGTGTGGTATGGCAACACCTCTTCGCGAGAAAGAAAGGCACTGCAGAGAATGGTCAATATGGCCCAGAAGATCATCGGCTGCAGTCTCACCGAGATTAAACAGCTCTATGAGGACCGCTGCCGTGGTAGAATTCTGGCCATCACAGAGGACAGTCACCACCCAGGGCATGAGCTCTTCACCCCACTGCCCTCAGGCAAGAGATACAAGAGCATACAGACACTTACCACTAGATTCTTCAACAGCTTCTATCCACAAGCAGTGAGACTGGCGAACACATTTAGCCATCCCCCTCGGACCACACCTACACCATCACCATCTACCTCTTTATGATTTCTTATCTATTGCACATCTCCAGTCATTGTTTACACGTCTGTATTGTTTACATTCAAACTGTCTACATGTTTACTTGAACATTGTCTACTGTTTGTTTGTACATTGTCTTAATGCACTGTTTGCACTTTGTCTTGTTTTTTACACTTGTTTTACAATCTAGAGACTTTCTGTAAGTAAGAATTCCATTGTACCAGTACCGGTTACATATGGCAATAAAGTTCAAGTTTTTATGTGAATTTGGTCCCCTATACCGTCTCCCTGATGGGTTGAGAGTGCAGTGGGCGTGTGGTATCAGCTGTGATGTTTCCTGCTGCTCTGAGAACTGCATTATGATGGAAATTGCTGAGCTGGGGCGGCTGTTTCCCAATTATTTTTCCTGCCATTTTCACAATTCTGGACCGTTTGATTTTGCTTTTCAACCCCGGGTTTCCGTAGCAAACTGTCATGTTAAATGCCAGAATGCTTTCAAGAAGGCTTTTATATGCCATCTCTAGGACATTGAGACTAACATTAGAGTTTTTTAGTCTTTGAATTAAAAGCAGCTTCCAATTTGATTTATCAAAAATGTTGTCTATATTCACATATAACTCAGCCTCAATAATAATAACAAATTCCTTACACTTATATAGTGCTTTCCTGGACACTTCACTCAAAGCGCTTTATTCTGTAATGGGGACTCTCCTCCACCACCACCAGTGTGCAGCCCCACCTGGATGACGTGACGGCAGCCATAGTGCGCCAGAACGCTCCCCACACATCAGCTATCAGTGGGCAGGGAAAAGAGTGATGAAGCCAGATTAGAGATGGGGATTATTAGGAGGTCATGACTGGTAAAAGCCATATGGAAATTGTGCCAGGACACTGGGGTAACACCTCTACTCATTTCGAGAAACATCTTGGGATTTTTAAAGACCAGAGAAAGTCAGGACAGCGCCTTTATAGAGTATAGTTTCTCAGTCACTATACTGGGGGCATTAGGACCCACACAGACCACAGGGTGAGCACTCCCTGCAGGCCCCACTAACACCTCTTCCAGCAGCAGCCTCAGCTTTCCCAGGAGTCTCCCCTCCAGGTACTGACCAGGCTCACACCTGCTGAGCTCCAGGGGACTGAAGGCTGTGAGCTGCAGGGTGATATGGCTGCTGATCAAAATGTGTTTCCAAGAGACTCAGTGTAGGACACTCCCTTCAGACTAAAGAGACTCAGTTCCTTCAGCCTGTCAGTGTGGGACACATGGTGGCCAAATCTGTGCACAGTATGCGCACAGGATCTGTGTACTGCATTGCAATTTAAATAAAAACTCTTCATCGCTCGGACCTCCATGGTGGATGAAGTGGGTTCCCTCCTATATGTGAAGCACATATACGAGATGGAGATGGCATTGGGATGGAAGATGCAGAAATGTATGGAATTATGGAGGAAAATATTTGATATAATAAAAAGGTTCTCTCATATACCATGTATTACGGCTAGCATCACTCCAGGCTACAAGCTGGTTACCCGGAAGATTTTCCTTAGCTTGTGTGTGTGTGTGTTGGCAGGAAGACCTCTGAGAAAAAACAATTATACCGGCGGTGTCCAGCCAGCGGATTCAGCCCCGTAGCCTGCGGTTTGTCCGTTTCTCGCCGCAGGATGGGAGGCGAGGAGGCCGCGGCGCCCCTCGATCTCCACAGCCAGCTGTCCGAGGTCATGCAGCGGCTGGTGAGCCAGACGGTGTCGGAGGTGGCGCTGCTGGTCCAGGGCGCCGTGGCGCGGCTGCGGGGGGACCTCGCCCGCAAGGAGCAGGAGAACGAGGTGCTGCACCTGCGCCTGGCCCTGCTGGAGGACAACGTCCGGGCCGCCCTGGAGAGGGCCGTGGCCGCGGAGCGCCGGGC